GCAGTGCACATCCACTACTCCGCACTATGAGACCGAATCCAGCGTCTGTGGTCTGGATTAACCCTTATACTTACAAAGGCAGTGACCAAATGGAGACCTTTTTATTGACGTATTTTTAAATCACACTGGTTATTAAAAATTAGTTTCAACAAACTGTTTTATTATTTATATACACTGTTTATCTAAATGATTGACTTATTACTAGCTCCTGTATTAATTCGTATGTAAATTTTCTGCCCACCGTATTCTTCAGTAGCTTAGAAGCTCTGATAGTTTTAGTCTATTTTTCAGAAGAATAGTTAAATAACTGAAATACTGTCACATGCAAATATAGGTCTATAAACTACTTAACTGACATTTAAAAATTTTATCATAACCGTATCCAACGATACTTTTATTGTCGATTGTGTACTTTAAACTGATATGTATTTTGTATATAACAGGATAGTTTATATCATTAGTGAACTGACAAGCACATAGATAGTAGTGTGAAAAAAGTAACAACAAATAGATATGCATATAAATACACCAGTGACTGATGCACGTCATTAATATTGCTATAATCACTACGAAAATTATGTAAAACATTCAGCCTATTACGTGATTTCTGTTCAGAGTATGGACGTGATTCGTTCAGTAATAATTAAATTTTCAAACATGTTGTGTTTGGGGTTGGTGACGAATAATTATATTTGAGTGTTTATAATAATATTAATATTATCATGATTATCAGACCATATAATGAACACTATAGTTAAAATGAAGTGAATATACTCCTAATAACATACTTTATATTATAAATAGACAATATACAAATCACTATCCTTTTTTTTTCTATCACGTCATAAATTCTAGCAAAAAACTAGGCTATGGGTACAACACCATTTGTTTAAAACATACTTTTTGTGATATTAGCCAGCTTTTTCTTAAATTATTCGGTTGGTGTACTTAAAATCTTGATACAGATTCTCCGAATAAATGTAGGACGCGGAAAGTATGCGGCATAATGAGTTCAATACTTTTCACCTTGTTAACATACTGATGGAAGGTAAACGATAGAACAAAATGATAATTTATTTATCATAATCTGATTTCATTTACTTTCAAAGTCGACGACATATATCCATATAAAAGACTAGTTGATTATCTTGAGCGATAAAATAACAGATAAATATTGAAGCGAAAATGAAGTTGCGGACCCGTAAATAAGAGGTTACTGGAGTGAATCTTATTTTAAAGTAGGATGATTTGAACTCAAGTCATTGTTTCTGAATGAACAAGGAGATTTGTCAAAAAGTTTGATAACTTGATAGGAAGGTAATTTTTGATGGAAATGAGAGTAGTTATCAGAGTAGATTGTGTGACGTAGTCCTATCAGTTTCTTACTCAACGATCACAATAAATAAATAGAACAACCACATTTTATTGATTTACTCAACCCAATCGACCCAAATCGGAACGTGATCTCTAATCTCTTTCACATCTAATCATTCAGTTAACCGATTAATTAAATTATTCAGTCCATGTGACCTACATTGACTTGAATTATATCAGCATATCTCTGTGATTTCATCTTAATGTATATCCTACAGTTTTCGTCTTTGAATAGCACTCCCCATGACCTTGTAAGTGTAAAATTGCTATTTAAAGAATGGGGACGACGAATAAATCCGATAATTCATTTGATCAGGCTGACAAAAGTTGTATCAACTACAAAAAGGTAGCATTTATGCATTTTTTTACGGAGAAATATAACTATTTAGTTGAATTAATTTAGTGGTTCTAACTTGCACATCATAAAATACCATTTTAGATTTTACGATTAGTTAGGTAGCATTCGACTTCATGCCTATGTTCAAGAGTGGTCACGAGTTTCATGTCAAATTAAAGTATGATTTATAATTGAGGGTAAGAATATAAACTATAAAAGTATAATTATAAAGTAAAACTGATTATGATTTTTTGTAAAATGATGATAGTTAACCCATTTTAGACACTCCAGTTGACAGGATTAAAGATATGCATCAAACGTGGATTGCCAATCCCTCAGCAGTGCATAAAATATTGATTCGACACCCCTTCGACCTACTTCCTTTAAGTTAAAGGAATTGGATTGAAAGGGTGTCGAGCCAATATTTTATGCAACGCTGAGGCATTGGCAATCCACGAACTCAAGCTCGAACTTTATATTCATCATACTTTTAGTATGAATATGAAGTACATTTACCTGATGAATCATTCATTAGCGTTTTCCGCAGTGATATAATGCGCAATTTCAAAATAATGTCGTATAATATGTATCTCTGAATGTAGGTAAAGTAGACGGAATAACTGATATTTTTAAATACGACATGAAAAGTGATCACTTCATCGTTCTTACTAATATGTACAAACAGAAAACTAAAACCAATGCTTATATTTCTAACTATAACAATGTTCAAATGATCTCCGAGACCCGGTATTTTATAGTCTAGTATACTTTCCCACTATTTCTTACTCAAACTAGACATATTAAAGTTTCCCCGAACCATAAGAAAAATCTATACCTTTTATTCAAGGATTCCACCAAACCTCCGACCAAAATGATTATAAAACAGCTATCAAAGATTACCTCAGTTACGTCACTGACAATAACAATATTTATTTGGGACTTTGTTGCAATCAAAGCATCTATAGAAACGACTTGTGGTTATCTCTTGAGAACATAATGAATCAACAGTTCAAAGCACTTTAATTTCTATGGAGACGTAACATGAATTGTGAAAATTCTTTCACTAAATTATTTGTAATACATTGTTATATTTTTTGAACCTGAAAGCAACTCAGTTCAAACATTGTAAACAAATGAGTAAAATGTTTTATAAACATACAGGAATCACAAAACTTATTATTCATGGGAAACTGACAAACCGAACTAACAAAATGGCTTACTTATCGTGATAAAGATTGTACATAAGAGCAGCTGGCATCTTAATTGTCCATCTGGAAATTCCGACATCTGTAGGACCAGCTTCTAGAACCAGAACTTTACTAGAATTTTTTGTTTTAGGATGTGGTAAACTTAAGCGATTGGCCAAAACACATCCAGCTGAACCAGCTCCAATTATAATGTATTCATAGGAATTCCTAAAGTCATTGGATTTTGCTATCGGCGTTTTATGATTAGATACGCTACACGATGTCCTAAACAGACGTTTTGTGATATGTTTGTGATAATATTGGTGCTTTATAAGTCCATAATATTTTAGATAATATCCTTGTCCCAGCACTGAATTTAAGTAATTCATGGAGAGCAAAAACAATTATCTACAGTCAAGAAAACAGAAAGCATACTCTTATTAAGATTATTCGTCAGTTGGGGAGAATAAGCATTTTTCTATTGAGTAGTTAAATCTGTTTGTTCTAAGAAAGTTCTGTGATAGATTTTTGGGTATAATTAAATCATATGAGATAAAGTACACACCGTCATATAACGAATCGTTAAATAAATCCTACATCTGTTTGTGAAATATGTGTAACAAAATAATACTCCTAATTAAAGTACATTATAGTAAGATATTAAATGAGATAACATTAAAGCTCATAGAGTAAGAATCTATGAATGATATTCATATATTGGTTGAACAAACTAAATAACATATCACATTCTCATTTACATTAAAAGCGTTACCTTACAAAGTAATATCATGCAGTAGATTAAGTGAGTTTCGACTGATTCAAGATCTGGATAATTCATATTAACAAAAGAAATAAAGAATTTATTCGTCTTATTATTTAGTGGTTAGTGGTCTATTCAAAATTAGCATTTTTTCTTAGTTGAATATCATATTAAAGCACCTATAGAATTATTAAATAACTAAATCCTTTCACATTATATTTCATTTCAAGTCTAGAGCTCTAATAAACTCAATAAAATACAAATATTTGCTACAAGTAGGTACTCACCGATAAACAGAGTGTATAATTATTGTATATTGGCTAACAGATGCATGCAACAACTCATGTAAAACATCAGAAAGTAATAAATAATAACTAGTTTGAGTTTAGGAAATCGTGAGTTGTTAACTTTATCGTCTAGAACATAGTAATAATTAAACAACTAAATTAATGTGGTACTGCTAGAATGGTCTTAATTCAGTTCAATCTATAGGGATATATTTGTGCCAGTGATTGCTTAATTTACTTTGTATGAGAATTGTCCAGAAATAATGAGACTTGAAGTTCTGTTGATTTTTGTACATTTAAACGACCGGTGAACTATTAATCGTTTTAGGTTAGATAAGCTAAGTATTTTTTTGGATTTTTTATTAAATCATTATTAGCAACGTTTCCTAAAAATCACTTGTTAAATGACTGACTTGTCAAAACACCTAGGCTGAATCAGGATTTGGGTCATTGTTCCCTTAGATGTTAGTCAGGAAATCTATAGACTAGAATATAAGACAGAAAATTTAACAGGTTTTTAACTTCTCTTCATCACTACGTCATAAACATGGATTGTATCCAAGTTACTGGCAAGTGATTATCCTTAAAGCTTCAAATCAACCACCCTGCCAGTATATCTGATCGCTTATGTTACTGAATAATGGAAACGAGTGAGCATTGTATGATGAAAGTTAATAAAAAAGACTAAGAAATGTTGAGTTTCAACAGACAATCTGCCAAACATATCATTCGAATTCACAAAAAGGAATTTTAGGTAAAATGCTTTTATTGGCATCAATCAACTTGATATATAAATTAGCCATAGCAACCGTCATCGGAAATAATTGAAAAATGGTTATTACTGTCATTGAAAAATTTTCATGGAAGGTATTTCAGAAGAAGGAATTATAAAATAAGTTTACATTTTTTGTGGTATAAAGTAGAAAGGAAATGAAATCAGAATTGAATAAAGTTTGTAAGAAGTATTCATAACTTAAAAAATATATGGCATAACGAATTGGTTGATTTTGTATCATCCTTTTATGGATTGCTTCATTTCTTCCTTTAAACTACCTTTAATCAATGAATATATTAGGGAGATGAGATAAGTTTGGCAAAATTAGGTCTGAATAGGAGATTAGATCGGTTGCCGATGAAAATCCAGATAACAGTCCAACAGTAAGGCCAACCTTAGCCGATCGACCGGAGATTAAGTCTGCAGGTGTATCACCGACAATGACTGTTTCTTCAGGTTTACACTACAAGAAGAAGAAGAAGTGTCTTCAATATACTAATGAGCATTCAAATGGTTGAAAACACGATGAAGGCAGAATATATAAAAAAGCACCACCGATCTGTTTTGTTTTCATGCCATGTATGATCAGTGACAATAAATAACCAATCTTAAACAATGAAGTCGATAGTTTGACACTCCATGATCAGCGAAAATTAAATTTTAGGGAAATGTTTTGTTTATCACACAGTGAGATTTAATTTCTCATTGCAGTTGAGGACATTTAAGTTTAAGAAATTTCAAGTGAATTAGCTGCACATTATGTAAAGTCTATTGACTTCGAAAATTCTTCTTCCTAAACCACTTATCATTTAGAACATTATATCAACTTCTTTCCAAAGTTATTATATTATACGTTTATACATAATTTATCCTCACAAAAGTTACTCTTTCATAGTGCGATCACTATTCTAGTTAATAACTTTATTTCGAATCTCCAAAACACTAGGTTATTCACACAAACGTGTGAATTCATAGATGGTATGTTTATTATGACCCTGGAAGGGAGTGTGCGAGCTGTCACCATCTTTAAGCTGACCAACTTATTAAAATATTGTTATAAAGCGAAATCAACATCTAATAATAATGACTTTCACTTACGATCACAAAAAGTATGAATTAAAGTAAATAAAATATGACTCTGTCTAACGGTTGAGATTCATTTATGGTGGTCACGGATAACACTAACTTCAAACAATTTTTATAAATTCCCTATTTTACTACCAGACGAACGATACTGATAGAAATATCAATAAAACTCTGACATGCGAAAACATTGAGTGATGGGTCTTAAATAATTTAAACAAAATTTAAAATAATAAAAGAAAAATCTCTTACTCCAACTTTGTCAATGATTTGAAGCACAGTGTGTGGTAAAGGTTTTGGGTGACAACCGGCATCTTCTGCCGACACTATGATATCTATGTAGTCATGCAATTTTAGGTTTAACAAGAAATCGTCGCAGGCTTTTCGGCTGTCTGAACTATTTATAGCTACTTGTAGACCGACTTCCCTAAGTTTCTTAACTGTTTCAATCGTATCAGATATAGTTATACCTGGTATAGAGCTTGGACAGATCCATATCTAAAATTATATAACACGTAAATTGAAAGAAGATGAACAACAACTTACATATAAAACAAATTAGCTAAAGTATAGTAAACGATACTTGAATTTCACAAATCGCTACATTTCTCAATAACATTATTTTGAGCTACAGGAGAGCTAAATTAAAATATAATACGACTATGTAAGAGGAAGGGTTGAGGATTAGGTTACCAAAGAAATGGAAGATTAATAACTATTTCCTTCAGAAGACAGCTTGTTTTAAGTGTGTGGTGGAAATGGCTGTAACGAATCTCAAAAAACGTAAGTTCAACTATTGGTCAATCATTTTGGTAGACTCTAAAGTTCCTACATGGTGCTCTATGTCGAGTTCAGTTTTATCACTCTTGAAGTCTAGGTCCCCCTGAAACAACCGAAAAAAATATGCCAGTTGGTTTTTTCGAAGGATGGTCATTACTCTGGAAGTAGTAGCACAGTGCCTTTATAGCAACTTTTTATAGAAGGATAACAGTTCGAATAACTTCTATTATTTGTCTGGGTACTCTAAGTAGTTGGTCCTCCTGAAAAATGCTGTGAAATTTGCCTCAGTTACTAAGTAAGTCAGAAACATAGGTAACATGGCACAAGCCAGATTGCCACAAAGCACATTAAAACAAAGATGGAAAATTGGAGGAACGAAAAGTATTTAAAATAATAGTAATAATTATGACAGAATTTGTAAAATACACAGCACATATTGAAGATAGCTACATTTAATGGTGATCTTCGAAAACTCCATTTCAGTTTCTACATCTAAATTTAAATAACTCATTAAGATTAATACAAGTGCGTAGCTGAGAAACAGACTGACGAGAAAAAACACATTTATTCATGCCTAAGGATATCTTTTAATGACATGCAGACGAAAACATCTCGTAAATTTTAAGTGTATTTTACTAGAAAAAGTTCTGATCATTTAAAAATATCCGCTGAAATATAAACCTTCTAGAAACGATGCGGGACCTGATGAAAACATGAATCGTTTCAGTTCACTACACTTTTATGGTTGTGATGAAATGAAATCATTTAGTTAAAACTAAAAGCATCAGAAATGAAAATATTGCTTGTAGTTCAAAAAGCTGACTTAAAGAATATATCCACACTATAACTGACGAAGTCTAAGGACAGGAGGTACGCGGAAATTCTAAACAATGAATGGAGAATGGATTCATCCAGGCTCTTGCCAACAATTTTGATAAACTTTACTCTCGGACGCCACCTGCTAACTATGGCTCCAACAATGATCTTAACTAGCAAGAGTGGGCCTTCTGATAAACCGCAACACAACAGTCAGTGACATTGTGAAATGATTCCCTACTTCTGTTTCAAGCCCACCAGTCTTCTCCTATCCTGAGCCATCATAGCTCGCTGTGTTAGGTGGTTGATAGGTTTAAGAACATGAATCCCTGGCACCTCATTCGACAAAAACCCATAACTTTATTAACAAGTGTGATACAGTTATCTAGTGTCTGACGATTATTTCCAGCATTAATTAATTTGTCGCTTCACCATACGTGAGGGCCCCATAGACAAACTGTGAAATGCACAGAATACCTATGTATAACGGACACTTCTTAACAGACAAACTAAAATCTGACCTGAGCCTCAGATGGTGCAATGTGATAGAAGCCGAACTGGTATCTTGTATCTTTGGTGAAATTTTGTCAACTAGTGAGACATAATTGTTTCACATAGTAAACTTATGAATACGTAAGTCATATTGAAACATAATTTTATAACATTTTGTTTCGATTTAGGATACATATTCGAAACCTTACATCACTAGTTATTTTGTTGTAATCTTCTGCCTTACATGTAAAAAAATATATTTGGCAACCATGACTTACCTGGTTTACCATCTGGTCAGACTCCTTGACTCCGTAACCTTTCAATACGAGCAAGTACCGTAGGCACTCTTCGATAAACACCATAGATCCTTCAGCTAAAATACCATTAGATATTTTTCGTGTTTCAGAAGAGTAACCCAGTATGTTCAAAAATGTACATGCTAGATCAGGAGACGTTTTTTTCCGATAATCTGTAAGATGTTAGGAGTAAAATGTTTTCAAGTTACCAACATTAGCTTATTAGGAAACAAACAGTGAAAAAGATTTTTTAAAGAAGCTTGTCAAGATTGCTGTTCATTGTTTAGCTTTGATGAACTCAAAATGTCTTAAATCCCAGAAGAAAAAGAAAAAACGGTTCAGAAAAACAAAAAGCCTATTCTACAAAAGATTTTAACTAAGAACCGCTGCATTAACATATTCAGGAAGGAGAAATATATGGGTTAAATTCAATTGAAATTACTTACTGTGAATAGTTGTAACAAATTATTATTTAAAACCATAACGTTCAAATGAACTCTTAAAGCCATAGATACAAACTAAATGCTATCCGATTAGGTCACACTATCTTGTAAAACTGCATTTGTAGTCATCAAACAAAGTTGCTCCAAAATACTCACAGAACAAAAGCAATTAACCTCTTAGAGAATTGAGGTACGGTAAACCAATTTTAAATAGATAATATACTTGTCTAAAATCTTGATAGGTCAGCAGGAATTTTTCATCCAGCAGCAGAAAAATACATATGAATTATCTAAAGTGAGGGGAGCTAAGAAGATCATGAAGTTTTTTTCTAAGCTTCATTAACAAAAATGGTTTATAATGTTCACTGGCTCGTCTTCTGAACACCTTCAATTCACATTTATCCACATCCAGAAGTCTTATCTTTGTACTCGGAAGAAGTTCGTAAAGCCCCTTCCCCTATCTGACCCATTTACGTAGTGCATTTAAAAGAGAGTGCGTCAACACTCACAAATTTTCTAAGATTTTCGATAACGCTAGTGTTCCTACATAATTTTAATACTTATCGATTCTTAACCAATTCCACCATTGTGGTGTGTGTTACTTATGTCAACAGCAATAAGTAGTATACAACAACGATCGAAAGTAGAAAACCTGCAAGCAGATTGTTGAGACGCTCAAATCGAAGTGAACGAGGACAGAGAGTAATTTTCATGGCAATGGAAAAACGATGAAGGTTGAGACAATTGGTGGAGCTTTTGCAAATGAAGTATTGAACGCATGGTTTTAAAATTGATGAAAGGACTCTGTAATTTTGTATAAAATACATTGATTGTCCCCACCTGTGTTCTTATTCACTAAACTATCACTGAATATCCGAGTGGGAATTTTTGTTTTGTTCATAAAGCTAAAATTGTATTTCAACTGTACATGATGTAAAAGTATGATATCATATGAGATACTAAAATAAGTAATATTTAATAACTTTTATGACGCCGAAATACTAATTACAGCCAAAAACAAACCTCTAAGAGTCAGGTGAATGTAATGTAATTAAATTTTACTAGATTTAAACCATATTCAAATAATATCTGATGATCATTACAACAGTTAGATATATTAGATTAAAATTATTTTTAACATCAACCAATTTTATGACAGAAAATTACCCTCTAACACATTCATGTCAAATAAATATTAGTTGTTGTCAATACAACTGATTTGACCAACAAGTATATGTAATTTCAACAAGCACGTGCACAATCAAGTTACGTGTTTAACGGGACGTGCGAAATTTTAAACAATAATAAATGGCCGGACATTAGATCGTAAATTAAAACCGGTTTCGAATTAGTACTTTCTCTAATCTTAAAAGAGGTGGGTACCCTAATAAACATAGAACGTACATGTCTAATTTTTGAGGGCTTGTGGAAACAATACGCCTAGCCTGAACTAACAGGTCATGAATAAGAAGAAAAAACATTTAGTGCACTAAAACCTCACTAAGAATAACTACAACATCCAAAAAATGTGCGGATATTTTAATATCCAACACTATCTGTTTTATGATGTTTAGAACCGTACAGTGGTCATACTCCACAAAAACTTGTGAACGTGTAGTTTTAATTTAAAGGATGTAGTTGTCGAAGACTGACCTTATTTTCAGGTCCACTTAAAGCCAACTAGCATAAGACAGCTATTTCATTCCCACATGGAACTTTTAGTGGTGTGAACAGAATAGTTTGTTGTGGATGGGTTACTGTAATGCGCATCAAAAAACGACCGTTTGTTTTCAGAAATTTACATTTGTTCTACATGTAAAAAGATCTGCATGGAGTTTTCATAAAACTTGGATATTCTGCCTACCATTTATTAGCTGATTATTTGCTAAATTTTAACTTCACTATAGATTTTGAGAGTTTTACATCTATTCTGGCATAATTACTGTCAAAATGTTGTTGTTCTTCTATTGCAACCTAAAAGTCCATGTGAAAATAGTAAGATTTTACCGTTAAAATCAAGATAGAAAGTGTCCAAATTAAGATTTTTATAGCACCTTGAAACTACTTTAGCCAATAAATTGCCCATGGTAAGTATATTCCTCGATTTTGCTTAAAATTAAGCCTAAATATTTTTAGTTTGCTTGAAAAAAATAGTGTAACGGCAAACTGACTTCATTAAACTTATATTCAAAACTCAACTCTTACAAAACCAAACCCGAGTAAATTTAATACTACAAGGATTGTTACCTAACCTTTTAAATAAGTACAAAGTTTCAAATTCTAAACAAAGTTTGGCAAAATCACTAAAGATTCCGTTTTTTATTGCGTACAATTATGTTACTTATTACAATATCAGTGTTCATTATTTTTATTCCATAATCCTACACAATTATCTGGCTTTGAGTATAGAATAAAATGTAACGATGCTTGAGTTCTGGGTATATTTTAGAAATCAACTTGTAAATCTTGAGATAACCAGATTAAAAACTGTTCAATGACTACCGCTAAATATCCAGGATCAGACAGCCTGAAAAATGATAACAGTCTGGCTTATTTGATGGTTATATCCCGTAACAATAGTAGATATAATATTTAAAAAAGCATAACATGCATCTAATTTCCTGTAAAATTTATGTTTATATCACTAACTATAAAGATATGATAATGTTAGTCCAGGTGTTTTGATGGCAGAAAAAGCAATAGAAACCCTTTCTATCTCAAGAGTACCTCAGAATTTATATAAAATACCAGAAACAATGACTTACCTCATGCAACTTTCTCGCACCATTCCGCCCAACGGGGATGTACATTTATAAAACTCCCATCTTTGTCAATAATAACCAGTTTAAACTTTTGATTTGACAGCTTTTGATGTAACACGTTTTTACTGAGCAAAATTTGTCTGATTGGTAGATTAAGATCAGGCAACACGATTGGCAATATATGACCCACAGATGGCACAATATGTAACTTAGGTTTTGAATGGTATGATTTGGCCTCGTTTAAATTATTCTTACCATCAATTTCAGAATGCTTAAGCCAAGTTGCTTCCAAACCATTTTGTTGACCGATCCCACTTAGAACACCAATACATAAACCTAGATTAGCATTCTTTCAGTAAAATGTAAAAAGGGAACTATCATACCTCAAATATTTTGAAGTATTTATTAAGAATGATGTATTATACTGTGAAAGGTACATGAGTTATGCTAAGAAGTTCAGACAGGTTTATTATCTGTTTGCTCAATTTGTACAAAAGTTGTTCTAAGACTAGCGTTTGTGAGTTTAATATTAAAGTGACACACTTTATCCTTCTAGGAGTTAACTAACAAACGTTTAGGACTTGGTTTTATAAGAGCTTTTTTCATTTTTTTATTGAATGTTAATTAATCCTGTAATAATAAAATTTGCTTATCTACAAACAGAACAAATTTGCATTGTTAAAAACTAGAAACACAAAAATAATGCAAATAGTATGCTGCTTACGTTTGTTAGAATTAAACCATTTCAGATGAAAATTGATTAAAAATGTTAAAGGCCGATCATTTTCACCTGAATTTCCTGGGTTGCAATTTAAAATATTGCTCAAAGTGTAAGATTGACTTGTTTTCAAACCATAACTTACTTTTGCGAAAGCAATGTCCGTTGAGGTATCTCCTATCATAACTGTTTCTTCAGGTGACACATGAAGTTCCTTACATATAAATTCCGCGTTATCTGGATGCGGTTTTGGAGGTCTACCAGGGTCATCACCGCAAACAATGACATCTAATAGATGTAAAACATCTAAAACTGCCAGAGCTTGCATTGTTCCTACAATTATTTAAAAGTAAATCAAATTAGTTTTCTCCAGTCTAAATTACATACAAAACTTAGTTGGCGGTCTTGTAATACATTGTTTTATTTTACTCTTGAAAGCCAGGAACTATCTGACTTGTTATTTTTTTAAATACAGCCAAATATTGCTAAAAAAAGTGTTATTTACTTGGTTTTTAGTTTTTCAATTTTCCGCCATGATTCATGTTAACGGTTTAGTTTTCTTTTAATTTATACTGCCGAAATGACTGAAATATCGTGTATTCACAATTTCGACTAAGAAACTCATCCTGGTCGATGACTGTTTTCAGCAAACCTTATTTTAACAATAGTTGTATTCAGTATCAAACTTGTGCAAAAGTTTAGATACAAAACTTTTTCGGTTGTTTAAAAGCAAATAAATAGCTCACTGATATCATTATTTCAAAGTCTTGCCACCATTTTCTTAGTAATTTTTATTTCCCTTACTCTACATTTATCTTTGTTGGTAACGTTATCATGAAATAGCTGAGACTTGAGACTGAAATCTAAAGGCCTGTCGGAACGATATTGCTTTAAATGTTCAGAAATTTTAAGATCTTTGTCAAAAATCATGTTGATATGCCTACGCTACGAAGGATATTCAAGTGTTCATTAACACACCAAACCATGACCAACATGCTAAAATTACTTGCTCTTGTTCTTGTATCTCCAATTATACAGTAATTTATTCACCATTAAAACCGTAAATATCTCCTGTTAGAGGATCAACTTACCTTTGCGACTGTCGGATGTGCAAATAGCGGTCTTGATTGAGTGCTGTCTCAAAGTAGTTAACATGCTTTTCATATCAGTCAACTGAACAATGTGCTCAGGTAAAAGTGATAATGCTTTTACATGCTTAGACACAATGGACTGAGCCATGCTTTTTGTAATTCCGTGAGAAACTAACAAGTTTGTCAGAGCGATTATTATTTGTTCTTCAGTACTTTCAGCTAAAACACCTTTAAAAAGGTCAGAATTAGAATGAAACACTTTAAACCTGAGTTGATAATATGAGTTTTTGGGCAGCACCCAAGAGTAGTCAATATCTCGAACCCTATATCCTGTTCTATGTCACTAGAAATGCTTTATCATTGGAGCAGATAAATAGGTATTTATATAAAGACAGTACTTTTTTGCAATAGTCCTTGCCCACGGCATCCACATTGAGTTAAAGCAAATGATAGTTCCATCTTTATCGAAAATAACTGCTTTGTACATTGGCTTTTTAGCTGAAACTAAGTACGTCGATGGATCCGAAAAGCCATCGGGCCTAACAAAACACTGTATGATGTTGAATGGTGATTTGAATGTACACAGATGAGTTTGACAGACGACCAAAACATCATCGTACGGATATCGTTTATAAGCTTTCAATATTAAATTTGTAGCTGTTCTTAAAAGTGTCATATCTACAGAGGTATCCTCTTCAGGCAAGGTATTTACTAAGATTTAAATTGAAAGAATGATCTTGTATGGTCTGTAAAAACGTAAAAATAAATGAACACAAGATTATAGCACCAAAACAATTAACATTCTGTCCAATGCATTCGCTGCACTTTAAAACACGCAATACACGCTTGTGAATGAAAAACTGTTTATTCCAAAGTGCAAACACCAGGACTATTTTATAGGTTTGACAAAAATGCAAGGTCTTATTACGCTACTTTGAAACTTTTAAACAAACAAAATTTCGAAGTAATTAAAGAGTATGATGAAACTTATATGAAACTACTATTTTGTTTAGTTCTTCATGTTCAAAAGTCTTTTTTAGGATAACTTGTACTTTCTCAGCTTTCAAATGACTTTGTGGTAAGAAATAAAGGCTAACTTGTAATTTTATTTAAGCGACCTTCAGAGATTTCTCACAAGGCGACCACTTGATATTTGGAGTCTCCCAGATCGGTGGCGTGTATGTTATATACTTCAATTTGCTTGTATGCAAGTTATAAAATATATCCAGTTTATGCGTAACACGTAAGCTAACATGCGTTCGTGGACTTATGGGGATTATCAATAATGGTCTCCAGCACTTTCGTAGTATTTCATTTTATAAACTACTGCCACAACCACCAAAGCGGCAACATCATTTCTGTTCTTCCAACACAGCTCCTAGAGTACAGAGTACAAATCTAGGCTTTTCGATTTTTACAGTACGTTGTAGCAGTGAAGTGCGAAGTCAACTAGTTTGATAGCAGTTCACAGCGCATAAACTACAGTTATGAACGAGGAAAGCCAATTTTCTTTATAAAGTAACCTGTTCTCAAGAAACAGTGTTACTGATGGTCGTGTATTTCAACCCTAAGCAATTTCCCACATCAAAATCTTTCCACATGAAACCAGTATTCTGGTCCAAGCTCATTAATAACTCTCTTGATATTATTGTCATCTTATCACTTAGTACAGTAATTTGCCATCCGAAACGTATAACGACTTCAACAATAACACAGACAATTCCATGGAACTACCTTAAGATAGCTATTATGCTGTATCGAGGTTTCGTTCTGAAATGCACAATACGGACACAGGTCTTTCCATTTCCAAACGTCGTATAGCACTGTATATACCTTTACTATTATTACATTTATTCAATTATTGGATTTCATATCTATTATTTCGGAAATGTGTGAATTAAAAATAAAAGTTTTTTTGAATTTTGGGAAAAACCTATTGTACGTGGATTACGATTATCCGCTTTTAGATTAAAGTCTAAAATTTATTATGCTCTTTCCTCAACTGCAGCTAACAGACAATAATAACAAATAATAAGAACATCGTCCCATGATAACGAGTGGATCTTACATGTGTGCCGATTGGTGATATCCATTTACATACTTGAAAATGTGGATTTATGAATGAGTAACACAAAACCGAAGAATAGACTCAACGTGAGCTGTCTGACAAAATAACTTTTCTTGGACATTTCACAGAAGTCGATTGATGGCGAAACAGATCTTGTTAACTTCTAAAAAAAATAAGCGAATTCATAACTATTTTAGAAAGTATCCTTATCAGGATCAGGCTTCATAATTTTAAATAAACTGAGAACTAAGCAGATTGTAGACACTTGTAGAAGTTACTCCTTTTCTTGACTCCAGGATGTGTTGACCCGCTAACAGTATGTTTCATCGGGAGCTATTTCTCGTGGTATCACCGATAATTTACTTCGGAAGCCAGAGCATTAGTTATTGGGGAAAGCATGTACTGTTATTAATTAAGGAAATCCATAATCAGGCGACTAGAAAGTGAACCAGAGGGTGAGTGAGTAAACGTGGACGAATCCATGTGCATTTTATGTGCTAACCGATGCACAAATGACGTTATTGATTTTGTTTGTTCACAATAATGAGATAATAAATAAAGATTGAGAAGCACACTTGCGTTCAATCAAACTGAGATATTCGCATACAAAGAGGATTAAATGTCTAAACCTCAATAAATATGTAATAGAGATATTCAGGAAGTTTTTTAGAGACAAGGAGAAACTTAAATGTGTTAGTCCAGCAAACCATTTAGCAGCTGATTGGAAAAAGAAGTGGTCTCAGCGGACGAACGACCTGGCAAATGATTTCATATATTGTAGTCTATCTTAAAATTGCACAGAATGAAACAAATATGTCTAGGATTTTTGGAATTTCGGTATTTTCTGTATATATATAAACAATGAAACTGTGCAATACCTGAATAATGCTGAAGCGTGTCTGTACGATCAACAGGTACCTGAAAATCAGGAAAACTCGGCTGAATTTGCCCTAAAGTTGAGCGATCGTTTGTGGCTTCACTCTCAAGGTGAGTGGTCTTACTTTTCATTGACAGTTAATGTTTTTAATTACCGAACTTCCTTTTATGAATAGTCAGCATAGTGAATCAGTAATACTATCGTTTTTATTATTTTTTGTGATTATTCTTTTTCCTTTAAATACCAACCCGTTAGCGCGTCGAAAATAATCATTTTTTGAATGAGTCAATCGGCATTATTAGTGTCCTGTAATTTTCAAGTTGGGCTCCTTTAGTCATCTACGCAACATGAATGTGATATATTATTCATAACAAAAGAAGTTTCAAGAAACCTTCTTAGTAATTATCTTTATTATAAAAAACATAGCTCAAACGCACTGATTATTCCTCAACTGTTATATCTCTTTCTTACGGTTATGACCCAGCTATTCCTATTGCTTAGTATTCTCGGATACCGATTCACTCGACAAGTCCCCAAATCAGAACACGGTTGAACAGGAAGGAGATTATATTCCAAATAACAAGGTTAGATGGAAGTAAGAAGCAAGTCAGAAGCACAATAGGGGAAACGTCAGTATATTTATAGTTCGTCTAGGCAATAGAGAAGTATCACTCTTTTCTTGCACAGAAACTGACGTGTCTATTCCCGGCGTTTTGATTTCAAAGGTGTCTAGCAGAACATCAAGAGGTAATCGATATTGAATCTTGTTGCTGGCTATCGAAGTTGCTTTCAATTGGTTAGCATGACGTACCCAAACTTCCGAGCCAACTGACACCTCGTAAACCACACTCCCCTTCTTTTTCAAGATCCGACCAGCTGTCCATGTAGGATGTTTCCCACGATAGTCCATAGCAAGCACTTTTTGTCCCACCGTGAACAATCGTCTTTGTGCCCCATGATGTCGGTTAAACTGATTCTCCATCGATAGGTTTCGTTGGGGTTCAATAGCTGGCGTAGGACGGATGACATCGAAATGTGTTCGTATCTTTCTGCCAAGTAGAGCTTCTGCTGGAGAGACCCCGTTAATTGTCTGAGGGTTCGGTGTAGAGCGATAAATAAACAGGAACCTCTCTAAGATATCTTCAGTGGTCCCTTCCCCTTTGGATTTTTTTAGAGCATTTTTAAATGTACTCACAAAGCGTTCCACTTGGCCATTTGATTGGGGATGGAATGGAGGTGTTCGGAGGTGCTGGATTCCGTTCTGCCGACAAAATTGTGAGAAGATTTCGGACGTAAACTGTGTTCCGTTGTCACTAACTATCAATTCCGGGATTCCAAAACGACTGAATAGTTGACGTAGTTTACTGACTGTGCAGCTTGCAGTCGGGTGTTCCATGAGAAAAATTTCTGGCCACTTGCTATATGCATCAACCACCAAAAGGTAAGTTTGTCCATGAAGTGGACCAGCAAAGTCCAAATGTATACGCTGCCACGGTAACTGTGGTATTGGCCATGATTGCAGCTCTGCTTTTCGCGGTGCTTTTGTTGCTAATGCACATTTGGTACACGAACGGGATAGCTGCTCCAGTTGGGTGTCTAAATGCGGCCAGTATACATAACTTCGTGCTAGTGCTTTCATGCGATTTATTCCAGGATGTCCTGCATGCAACTGTTCAAGCACTGCTGGTTGTAGCTTCTTGGGAATTATGACACGTTCGGCAAACAGCAGACAGTCATCGATGATTGAAAGAGAGAGTCTTCGCTGGTAAAACTGTTGAAGCTCTGTGGAACTGATTTTCGAGGGCCACCCTTCTAGGTGGAACTTTCTAACTTCTTGTAGTGTTGGGTCTCGAAGCGTTTCTTCCTGACTTCATCTGACGACACTGGAGTGTTTCGAATGGCATCTGCCACTATACTTCGTATTTCTGGGTCTACTGCTGTGGAGGCAATGATTATATCCTCTGGTCCAGGATGTTGAACTCCAATTAATCGGGAGAGAGCGTCAGCTTGACCGATAGTATTTGTCGACTGATACTTGATATTAAAATCATAACTCAGGAGCATTGTTGCCCAGCGCTGTAGTCTATTAGCCGTATAGACAGGGATTCCTTTCTTAGAACCAAAGATTGCAATCAAAGGTTTGTGATCTGTCAGTAGAGTAAATGTACGACCATAGAGCATTTTATGAAATCTTTTGACTGCGAAAATGATTGCAAGAGCTTCCTTTTCAATTTGGCTGTAGTTTCGCTCGGCTGGAGTAAGTGATCTAGCAGCATGGGCAATTGTCTTTTCTGATTTATCCGGAAACACGTGAGATATCACTGCTCCAACTCCATGACTAGAGGCATCAGATGCAACAACAATTTCCAAGCTGGGATCGAAGTGCGTCAAAAGAATCTTTGAGCTGAGCATTGATTTGACTCTGTCAAAAGATGCTTGACATTCTGCTGACCACTGCCAAGGTTTATCTTTCGATAGTAATTCATTTAGGGGACCTCTCACTCGATGCATTTCAGGCAAGAATGTGCTGTAATGACTGATTAACCCCAAGAAGGATCTTAATGAAGAAACATCAGTTGGTGCAGGCATCTTCTGAATGGCTTCGATGTTGGCAGGGTCTGGTCGGCGACCGTTCTTATCTAAGATAAAACCAAGGTATTTGATCGAATGCATGAAGAAGATACATTTTTCCTCACGTAGTTGGAAACCATACTCCAACACTCGGTTAAGGACTTGGTGTAGTCGATCAGAAAGTTCACTGTCAGTTGAACCCATAACTATGATATCATCTAGATAAGCTGCTGTACCAGGTATACCTGTTAGCATCGTATCCATTATTTGCTGAAAGATGGCGGGTGCGGTCTTGATGCCAAATGGTAGACGGTGTATTGAAATAACCCTCGATGAGTGTTAATGGTCAGAAGCTCTCTACTATCTTCATCTACTTCCACTTGGAGATAAGCATCAGAGAAGTCTATTTTCGCGAAGCATGTCCCACCATTAAGCTTGGCAAACAGGTCTTCAGGAACTGGTAAGGGATATTGATATACATCTAATGCAGCATTTAAACCGGTCGAGAAATCGGCACATATGCGTATAGTCCCATTGGCCTTCTTAATCACTACGATCGGTGCGGCCCATGCAGAGTAGTTAACTGGTCGGATTACACCAGCCTGTTGCAAGCGATTAAGTTCCTGGTCGACTAGCTCAAGAGCAGCATATGGTACAGGACGTCTCGGGCGAAAAATAGGTATGGCATCTGGTTTCACTGGTAAGTGCGCTTTCATCTTGGTACAGTGGCCAAGGCTATTCTGAAAAACAGAGGCAAACTTTCTTTTCAGTTTTTCTAGTAACCTTTCACCTGTCTTCTTTGGAAGTAATGGGCTGTCCAATGATGAACACGATACGTTACAGACACTGTTAATTGGTATATCCATTATTCCAAGTTTGTCTAGCATATCTAGACCAAGAAGATCAAGGTTCGGCCGTTCTGTTAGGTAACATATTCCTGTACAGTTAGTTCCATTGAAGGAAAATTCACACTGTAATTCACCAACCAGTTTTAGCACACCACCTGATGCGTTTTTAGCCGTTTTCTTAGATGGCTTCATTGGCGGTTTACCCAGCAAGTTATACGTTTCTCTAGACACTAACGTGATATCTGATGCCGTGTCAATTTGAAGACGAGCTGATATGCCGTTTATCTGGATGGTAACATACTTTCTCCGAATGTCATAGTTTGTTTGAAAAGCAGCTACCAGAGAAAGAGATTTAGACTCGGCTGATTTCACATGTCGAGGACGTTTATGCTTCTTCTTAGGCTGAGACGTACGCTTCGGTGGACAATGACCTTCTTTATGTCCACGTTTGTTGCACGCCTGACATTTATGCTTCTTGAACGGACAGAATCGTGCATAATGCCAATCACCGCATAACCAGCATGCAGTCCTTGGTTTGTTACGAGTTGTTACCGGCTTCTGAACTTTTAACCTAGTAATAGTATTGACACTACCGCAGGTTAAATTAGGATTTACCTGTTCAATCAACTCGTTGTCGTGTCTGATGCTTTGTAGACGCTTACACTCATCTGTCAATGTTCTGAGTGTGACGTTTGGGTCTTGATCCAGTCGAGCTAAAAGTCTAGTCCTGATCTCAGCATCTTGTGGTGACTGAAGAGCTTTGATGAATATTAAGCATTTAAATTGGTCATCAGTCAACGAGCGTAACTTGAAACGTTCACATTCTCTGTTGACAATGTCTGCTAGAACACCATATTCATCAGCTTCGCGTTTCACCAAATTTAGACACCGATATCGAATACTAAACAACGAGGATGACTCGCCGAATATCTCTGACAACTGAAATACCGTCTCCTCGAAACTGAGCTCTCGAGGTAACTTTGGCAATATATGGTCAGCAAAACGTGCATGTTCATTGCTTCCCAACTTACGTACCAACAATCGGGTCTTCCACGCATCGTCTTGATTACAGAATTCTGTTCTAAATGTATCTTCCCAACGTTTGAACCACGTGAGAAAAGTATTTCCACTTTCGGGATCATAGATGAATTCTGGGATGCTGCTAGCAACTGCATCACAAGACGTACTTGAAATAGCATGTGAACTCGAGCTGTGGATGTTGAGCTGTTGAGTCAGAGTCTCCAACAACCGCATTTGTGCATCAAGTTGTGCTTGCTGTTGTTGTAGTATTCGGTTAAGCTGGTCATCTGATATAGGCATCTTGAATTTGTTTTCCTTTTTCCCCGTCGCCACTGTTATATCTCTTTCTTACGGTTATGACCCAGCTATTCCTATTGCTTAGTATTCTCGGATACCGATTCACTCGACAAGTCCCCAAATCAGAACACGGTTGAACAGGAAGGAGATTATATTCCAAATAACAAGGTTAGATGGAAGTAAGAAGCAAGTCAGAAGCACAATAGGGGAAACGTCAGTATATTTATAGTTTTTACATGAGAAGATTCTAGAGTATTCACAATTGATTGATCACTGGGTGATGATCAATCTCATGCTTGTCTGGTCCTTATTAGTGCAGATCGAATGCTATCGATCATGTTGCAATGTGGCCACCAGTCTAGGTGACTCGACACTGCGGGCACTATGTATTGAGATTAGATGGTGGTGCACTAATAAGGACTAGACAAGCATGAGATTGATCACCACCCAGTGATCAATCAATTGTGATTACATCTCAGTCCTACAGGAGGTTAGTCACGCCTCGGATAGCTCAGTGGTAACGTCTCTGACTGTGAAGCTGGGTGACACGAGATCGAATCCGCCAGGGAGCACCAGTTCCCTCAAGATTACAGGTACACCTTGCTGACGAGTGCCAAGTAGCACGAAACCCGGGTCCAGGGTTTCCTGTTGACTACCTCCAACCACCATCTAATCTCAATTCTAGAGTATTCTCCGACTATCGACTAGTGCTGATTGGATGAAAATTAGCTAATCAGCGTGCACCAAAGCAATCGTGAATTGAGCATGCTTTAATCCGGTCTATGTCTCGCTAACATCAACCGAGAGAATGCTTTTAACAGAAGAGGGAGATATTCAAAGCCTAGTTAAATAAAAGACATAACTATGCTTAAAATCGGAGATATATATTCAACTAAACACACTGATTGAGTGTGAACAATGCTCTAACCGAATACGTCAACACCGTAACAAAGCAGAAAGTAATAAATAGAACAAAACACTAGATAAGAGCAACCCTCTGCAAGCTCATTTAAAACGGACTACTTGATCTTGAAAAATAAATACATGAAAGTAAAGCGTGAGATCTGAACCAAGGCAAAACAAGTGAGGTTCAGCAAACTGACATGAAAGTCTTTTCTAATCCATGTGCAGGAAATTATTGAAAACATCTGCTTGATCTTCCGATTACGTCGACGATGAATGATTGAAGTATGAAAGCAACTCAGATTAGTCATGGTTTGCTAAATACGCAGGTCTGCTTCACATTACAACATAGAAGTGAACATATGCTCAAAGACTCTAAGGAACTACATTCAGGATAGATTACGTTAAACCATGTTACCACTTTAAAGTTAGTATTGCAACACACTAAGGCTGGATCCTTACATCATAATCACTCAATCATCAAAATGTTTCATCCACAAACAGCTTCCGTTCTGACTGTCTTGTTTCACACTTAGTACTTCTTTTTTGAAATACTGTATAGCTTCTATTTACATTTATTCGAAACAGATAGACATCTTACTGATTTCAGGTTTGGAATTTACAAGATCCTGCTCACTTATTAATGACCTCGCATTATTGGGGACTGAGGACACTTCGGGTCTTAAGTGAACAAGTGGAACGAAGGTAGATTCTACTGATATGTACACATGATGGCGAGGGTGATGATATTAGACTACATACGTCTGTGGGGCAAAATAATGTATTCGTCTCAGATTATTCATGCTTAGACACGATGGGATTATTCAACAATATTAATTTTTAGTTCATTTGTAATAGCTACAAACTTACTGAGTATTCTAATTAGATAAATGTGTTTAATACCTTGACGCCATATCACCACTATCTTCCTGTCACGTTGAATTGTCTGACTTCTTGATACGATTTTTGTAAACATCATTTGTAAACATAACTGGCAGCGATCTAATAATACTTCACATAAAGCGCTTGGATGGTCAGGTTCTGTAGAATCTAACTACATCTATACGGAATGTTATGAACATTGTGCCTCGGTATTTCGTCTGCCAAAGTTCAACTCGGAGTAATGATCATTCAAGGTGAAAATAACATTGATAAGAAGATAACTGATTTTTCTCAATGAGGTTCGGTAACCAAAATACTGAAGTTTCGTAGTCTGTTTGCTCGTTTAGTCTTGGTAAAAAACTATGTCGGTGAATTTACAATTATACCAAATAAAGTCTTGATTTGATCACATGATTTGTTTGGCCTTGACAATGTTTGAGGTTATAAATTTTTCAAGTATTTGTACTTCAATCATCTTATGGTTTGTATATTGGATATAATGACCAGTAGCCTCAGCATAACTAGTTGAAGAGCCTGTAATTCTTCAGTGTTAAACGATAGCCACGATGCATTTGTTTTCATCGCCCTAATATTTGACTCGACAAAGAGATCACGTTTAATTACTGGGAAGTACTAGCTAATTAACAAATGGAGTTTAATATGTCTAAATGAAAGAATTCTCAGCAGTAATAATGTGCCAACTCCAATGACAGTGTTTTGGGATGCTACTCGCTGAGTTTTTCACTTCCACAACCTCAGCAAAAGCCTTGACCGGAAAAAAAATATCTTTGTGATCTAGCTCCGGACTGTAAAATGTTTGAGTATCACAAAATATATCGTCAGAATAACATGTGGAAAATGAATGATGTAAAAAATGAGTACTGGAAGAAAAATTAAAGGGGACGGTCAAAGATCGGACAGCTTTATGGAACATATGAACCTGGTAATAAGCCGTTACTAATTTCAGCTTTCACTGTTGGCAGGCTTACGACCAGATTGTAAGAATAAAAGATTATGAGTTCAACCCTCCACTGACTCCTGAAACAAGAAATCAAAAATAAAAATTAATCGAAATGTAAATTTATTAACAGCAACAAAAATCTCGCACACGACAGGCGAGCTATTCAAAAAATAATCAATTTATTAAAATTTATCTGCCGCCTTTTAAGGTGAAGCCCGGTTCATACAGACGGTTGTTAAAATTAGCAGGAAGAATGCTGACATCTGCGCTACTATCAAAGAGATGGTGAATTTTCGTCATCATATAAGCGATGTTCAACAAACAGCCGTGTCCGTTGGCTACAGTTGCCGTTAAAAAGTGACGACTTGCCTTTTCGTGTCGAAGTGTTTGGTAATCGGGAATCTGAAGGGTTTCATGCATTCCCCAGATGACTTGCTATATTTACTGAGGTACCGGTACCAATCAGGACTATCCATCTTTCGTGGTCTAGAGACAGGTCATTTTCGCGACGAGCTTCTTCGAAGAGTTTGAGGGCATCCACGATTATGATGAATATTAAGATGACAAATGAGAGTATTGCAGATTTCTGTATTATGATTTTGTGCTATTCGGGGCTTTCCTCGACAGAATAAACCTCGGCGTTGAGGGTTCTCGTGATTTCAAGAATCCAGTCGCCTGATGTAGCCAGTCCATCTACAGCGTTATTATTATTATTATTATTCACAAACATCTTATGGGTACATAAGTGTTGTGAAGAAACCATTTCGGGTTTCTTCAAAAAAATGCAATAATACACAATTTTCAATAATGTCAGCATTCTACTTGCCATTTAAAAAAAATTTTGAGCAATAATAGTAGAATATTAATAATAATAAATCGAGTCTGTGTAATTGAGAACAATATTGAAGTGAGTCTAAAGAAGGAAATGCAGAAAATAAGGGAATAGAAATAAAGGAGACGTGAAATACGCAAACAGTCTAATAGGCGTGTTTACGAACACAGAACAAGAATAAACGACTATGTGTGTATCGTTAAATTAGTAACAAAAAACAATTAAGAAAAAATAACTTATAATTGCAGTAAGATATGACGCTAGAATAAATGTTTGTGCAGTCACATAGTTTGGAGTGATGCTATGAAAGTCTCAATTAAGTGAAAAGGATAATAAAATATCAATATGTATGAGTCATATATGCATAGTGAAGATAAAACGGGTCTGAGAATTTAATTTAAGTGTAACACAAGTTATTGTTTTAATTACAAACTTCGTAATCTTAAGAATAATATTTATTTAGAGGGAAAGAATGGAGTGAAAAGAAGTGAACACCTAGTGAAAAGTTTTGATCCATGATAAGAATAATAATTGTGTAATAAATATCAACCTCAGAAGGAAACCAACAATTGAAAAATAAAATAAAAATCCTTTAATGCACTCGGATGAATACATTTAGATTTATGTAATAGTATACAGAGTGAAACCGGATATTAGTATAAATATTTGTGCAATAATAATTAAGATTGATGCTATGAAAGTCAAAATTGATTTTAAAGGACAATCTGGAGTTAAATATGTTTAGAAGGATAAGAAGATACAAAAAGAATATCTAATGTGTCAGGGAACTAATAATGATATTAATAACGGAAATAATGATAAACACGAACATAATCAGATTTCATATATTAAGATAAATAGAAATAAAATAAAATAGATGTGGAAAGATTTAAAGGTTTTATTTTGCTTTTCAAGCAATTAAATGGATGACGGACCTTGTTTGTATAAATCATTATTGAATACATTGATATTCAATAGGTGACATAATCCACTTTCGGAAAGAAAATCGTCAAGGAGACTTTTGAACCGGGTTGTAGTTTCACTGCAACGGAGGTTCACTGGCAGTCTGTTCCACATGGTTGAGTAGCGAATAAGGAAAAAATTCTGACGTAAGTTTGTGTGGGTTCTTGGAATCGCTAGAATATTCTCCTTATTGCGTAGATTGTGGGATGATATCATAAGGTATGAAGGGGTGGATACCGAAGAGTAGGAAATACCGTTAATAAGCCGGTAGATAAAGACAAGATTTAATTTGATACGTCTGATCCAAAGAGGCTCTAAGTTGAGTTGTTGACATCTTTGGTAATAGTCTTTGTTATCGGAATACCCCAGAACAGCTTTAGTGAACCTTCTTTGAACACCTTCAATTCTAATCAGATCAGTATGTCTACAATTACTGTAAACTAAAATACCATATTCAAGAATGGGTAAGATACATTTTCTGTATAGTAACAATCTCGATTCGATATTATTGAAGTTTATCATTATCAATCCGATGAGCTTTCTAGCTTTGGATACTTGAGATATAATGTGTTCAGAAAAGTTCAGACTGTTGCTATATCTTAAACCCAGGTCACGAACAGTGTTAAGAGGTTTGAGTGTATGTGTCTGTACAGTCAGATTTAAGTTAAGACAGCGACCAATGTGAATAAATCCACTTTTGTCAACATTAAGTGGCATATTCCACGAAATAGTCCATTCGTACAACTTGTTTATTTCCTCTTGGATTACCGCTGAAATATAGCTTTCTTTCATGGGAGAAGAGAACGAATAAACTACTTTCAGGTCATCAGCAAAAAGAAAAGGCTTACCATACTGAAAGAGGGAACACACATCATTGATAAAAAGGAGAAAGAGTAATGGACCAACCACACTTCCTTGTATAACCCCACTGGTTACATTCACAGGTTTAGAGTAGCATGATCCAAAGCGAACGATTTGGTTACGTTCTTCTAAAAAAGATTTGAGCCAAGATAAAAGGGGATTCTGTATGCCAAATGAAGAGAGTTTTAAAAGAAGAAGTTTGTGTGAGACACTGTCGAAAGCCTTACTAAAATCGAAGTAAAGAATTATCACTGACTGACCAACATCTCTTTTCTGGGTAATTTGATCAAAAAACTCCAGGTGCGATGTGAAACATGAGCGTTTAGTCATAAACCCGTGTTGGGATGGGCTGATCAGACTAGCCGAAAGTAAAAATGATAGTAGCTGTTTGTGGATGATTTTTTCCATGGTTCTTGAGAGCACGGATGTCAAATTAATTGGCCTATAGTTAATAATATCACTACGTGGTCCTGTTTTGAATCTAGGGGTGATAAGGGATGTTTTCCATACAGATGGATAGGTCCCATATTCCATAGATAGATTGAAAAGTTTCAAACAAAATAGTGGAAATTCTCTACTTCCATATTTCACAAATGATGAAGGTATCCCGTCAGGTCCACCATCATAAGACTTTTTCAGGGCAGCTATGGCCTGCTTGATGTTGGAGGGTGTAAAATCAATTTTCGACAGATGTCTGGATGTCAGCATTGGAAATGTAATGATGGAGTTTTCAGTTCCAGTTTTGTAGCACTGCGAGAAGTGCTTGCTGAATTGTTCACATATAGTATTCGGGTCGTTAACAATGCTTCCGTTAACTATGAAGAATTTAGTCGTGCCAAGGGAATTTGACTTTACACGGGATTTAAAAAGCCGAAGTATTGATAATTCTGGGCTTTTACTACGTAGAGCTTTATTTTCTATATTCATAAAATACTTACGTTTAGATGAAGCATTTCTGTTGATTAATTTAAGTATACTCTGAAGTGCATACACATCATTCTGCTCGTAGTAGCGGCATTTTAATTTCCTCAGCTTTCTTTTAAAAGTATTTTGGCCCCTATTAGCATTATAAGCCACACGGCCAATAACTGGAGCAGTGCAGTCAAGACAATATATCAGGTTGTGGTATAGATTGGAAAGCGCAATGTCAACATTATTTGTGGTAAAATAAGTTTCCCATGGTAAACATTGAATGAGAGTTCCAGTCCGTTTCCATGTTTGTTGATCAAAATGTCTGCTTTGGTACATCAATGAAGCTTTAGAGTTCAATTGTATGGCGTTTAAAGAGTGAATAATACCAATACAACTCTATGGTCACTCATAAAAAACTCATGACTGGTATGTACTGAGATAGAGTCTATGTTGATTGTGAACATTAAATCAAGTGTATTATTCCCCCTGGTTGGTTTTCGGACCTGTTGAACCCATCCACAAATTTCTAATGTTTCAACTAGCTTGTTATATCGACCTGGTACCGGAGTCAAGCCCCATTTAATTTTTGGCAGGTTAAAATCGCCTCCGATGATTTTAAAAGTATGCGGTTGGTGCGAAGCAATGGAAAATATGTTTGTTAGTAATTTGTCAAACTTAGTATCCGCATGAGGTGGTCTATATATGCATCCCACAAGTAAATAATTTTGGGATCCACAGTTTACAGTAACCCAAGTGGAGTCGTCTATAGCATCAAGGGATTTATCCTCAAATTTGCACGCTTGAATGTCTGAACGGACATAGATAATTGTACCGCCTCCTATTCCATAACATCTATCGGTTCTAAAGAAAACGTAGTTATCTACATTCAAGGAATGATCGGATATAGATGAATTACACCACGTTTCCGTAATAAGTACAATGGTTGGATTAACAAGGAATAAAAGAGTTTTAAGATGAATAATTTTATTAGACAGAGAGCGGGCATTGAACGAAAGAATAAGAAACTCAGAGTCATCATAGTGAAGCAGGTTAGAGTATAAATCGCAATTGGTAGTTCCATGAATACTCATAGGATTAGCTAAGGTAAGAGTCGTGTTGCGAGGGGAAATAGATTCAACCACTTTGTCATCATGTGAAATATGTTTACCGTTGCCGGCAGGAAAGCCGGCGGAATTACAAAAAAATTCTTTTCATTGCTATTGGATATAACATCTGATAAGGGCATACTGTACATATTGGGAGCCGGACCAAGAAGGCTATCAGGTCTATGGTTGTGACCAAGTGGCCAATTACAATTCAGATAACTATTTATACCTGACGTATGGGTAACGTGTTTAAGACGTTTATTTCCAAGGTTTGTGGTTGATTTCGGCTTCTTCATAAGTTGGAGAGGATTGTGTACTGTTAAACATACTTGCGATGGTTTGCGAGGTTCGAATATATCAACGTTAAGTGCGTGGTCAGTTATATGAATGTTATGATTAGTTTTCCTGTTATCCGTTGCACAGTTACTGTAACTGGGTGTTGCACTAACAGGGGTTTGGATTGTGTTATCCCATTCTTCATCAGCACAACTACTTCGGGTTGAATCTAAGTCAACATTCTTAAGAGGATGGACACCACCTACATCGGGATTACTTTCTTCTGGGTTTTGAACTTTATGAGATTCAGAAGAGTTTTTTGGTGGCGGCAAAGTTGTTAAGCTAGACGTCCTCTTAGAATCGGACTTAACGTTACAACCATTAGGATTATGATGCGTTTGAGAGTTTGAAGCTGATGGTCTGTAGTTATCTCTTCCTGCTTTTCGCTGGCATGGTGTTTTATCCGGAAGAGTCTTAATATCCTTGAAAATCTGTTTTTGTCTCAATGAATTGGAGGAATTTAAAAATTCACTGGCGTCTACAGATGAGTTGAATTTGAACAAGATCGGTGAGTGCATACCAGGATGACTTCTTTTTAATCTTGTGCATACACATGGTACGTGTGTCATATTGCTGGCTCTAAGCAGACTAGATTTGATATTTTTAAGGGCATGTGTATCCGGTATATTAAACACAATTGCATTGCTAGATCGTCTTATTCTTTCAAATACCTCTGATGCAACACGATCTAGGAAAATATTTATGTCATTCATTTGATCTGGAGTCTCTGTGAGGTTGGGGTTGATGAGATATTTAAGCGGATTGAGAATGTTCATGTCTACTTGCAACTTCTTTATAGCATCCATATAGTTGCAGTTGCGATTATCATCACTGTTTACCATCAGAGTTTTCAACATGTCTGGAATGGAGACAACTGGTAAAAGCCTGTCTGCTTCCGGATGAACGGAGTGGCACGTCTCGTTGAAACTGTTGGAAATCGTATCGGTAGAGGTGTTAAATTGTGTCGTTTTCCTACGTTTGGCTGAACGCCTAGGAGCAGGGGTCTTCATTTTCTTTTGTGACATGATAAAGTGACGTATAGCAAGTGGTTTGAACAGAATGTTGGAAATAGGGGTGAAAAAATCAATTCCGAGGGCTCAAGTTAGTCTAAAAATCAAAATCTATGTTTTAACCAAGAGTGAATGTATCGTGAGGATTAGTGGTGTTAAAAACAAAAGATGACAATGGCAGGAAGATAGTAGTGGAGATGAAGTATTTATGTCAGTATCTGTGTGGAGGCAAAATAGAATATAAAGGAGCAAGTTGTATAAATTTTAACATATATGACACGAAAGATAGCCTTATATAGTAAAGTAATTTAGAAATGTCGATAATTAGTATCAAACAATCAAAAAAAGTACGGTATGTGATACATATATAAACTGAAAGTCCGTATTAGTAAAAATTGGGAGGTGCAGAGATAAGTAGTTTAGAAGATTATTACCGTCTAAAGTTATTATGTTGCTTCTTGAACAAATATATGAAACAGCTTTTTGGAAAAAAACACTGTCAAAAAAAAAACTATGACAGACTCACCGAATTGGACAGGTAATTTCGGAAATGAAATAATTTATAGTATCCAAATACGATTTAAATGATAGTTCATAAAATAGTGAATACAGTCCTTTAACATACACGGTTATATATATTTCTTGATATTAGGTAGAGGTTTGAATAGATCCTGTAGATACATAAAGTACGTGGGTTAAAGCATTCAAATACGATATAATCATATATTCCTTAAGAAATAGAATACAGATATGAAATGCAAATCTTCGTCAAATATGATTATATACGGTTTCAAAGTATAGTTTGATCGTATAGTCAAAATGAATATATGTAATTATATGATTATGAATTATTGTATGAATATGATCATAAATACTGTAAGTTGAACTCAGAACTTATCATATGGCATGAAATTCACAGTTTATATGCTAATAGTTAAGAATAGAGTTATTTTCCATAATTCCAAGAAAAAATAATTCATCCAGCTATGCGAGAATCCTAGAAAAGTGAAACTAAAAACCTCGGCCTGAAAGTAACGTCCAGTCCGTAGCGCGCGGGTTGTTTTGAAATGATACAAGGACTGCATGCAAATGTTGGTGACGCTTATACAGGAAGAGTTTTCTAAACAGGCCCTCGTCAAAGGTTCGTTAAGAAGTAAGTTCCCAAATACGCAGCGAAATTTATGTTACTGAGCCATATTACAGCTCGATGTAGAAAAGTCGATCTAACCTTCATCGGTCGGCTAGGTTTCCACACTTAAGAATAGCTTTTTTAAAGCTTCATAAGCTTTTGAAACATCACTAGTGAACATAAGTGTGACGTATCTGTTAGAATCTCTCGACGATGCCTTCACTACTGTGAGGTATTGTGCACGTGGGTCTGTTATACCGTGCTCGTTCTGTATAACCGAGCCAGACTTCTTTGTTGTCGGGCCAGAATGACATGAGATGAAAGTTGGCAGGCAAAAGAGTCTTAATCCTAAACAACTTCGGCTGCCATCCCCTCACGATATGCAAATGGTCGAGGAAAAAGCATCCAAGAATATAAGAACCATACCACTATGTGTAAAAATAAAAATAAAATAGTGATATTTAATGCTCCGACAAGGAACAGATACACACTTTATTGTTTCGTGTACCATATCACGTTGGTCTCGTCACTAAAGATGTCACAGCTATTCAGAGCTTGACAACGCCTTTACACGCAACATCTTTGTAATCGAAATATATCAACCCACTCAAACCAAACGTCAGAAATGAACGGTTTCGAATATATGTTTGGAAAGCCATCGATATGTCGAGAACCGATTGGTCTAAGCTAGCTAACAATTGAGAGGGATGTGTAGCACATAGTACTCACTAGTGATCTGCTGAGAATGTGTGACCGAGTGTCTACACTTGGCTATTTCTTGTGAAACTAATGAGGTCAACATCAGTCTCGAAGATTTACAGAACTACTTATTTGCATCCACAGTCTTCCCTTGACACTCGAATTAGGACTTTATTCTTTTTCACACTGTAACTAACGAACCTGCCAACTGCCAATCTGATAGCTGCTGGTATCGAGAAAACCTACTGCTCTGAGACGACTTAAAAAAATACGAACCCATAAGTAACTACCAAATTGACTAGAATTGGTGCAATCGAGACTACACTACCACTAGTCCAACATTACGAACTACCAGGAACTCTACTGAAACAACAAGAAGCGAGAGAAAAGAAATAAACTGGTCTGTACAAACTCATGATAAAGATAGTGAGCATTGAATCACTTTTTCCTGATTATTGTGCATTTGAATATTTACGTGCATTGTTTACCACACTGAATTCAGCCACCCTACCGACTGGTAATGTGATAGATCTTCGAAACACAGATATCATGATACACAAAACCAGATAAAATAACCGAACTAACGACCAGGAGTTAGCAGTACCTGGGATGTCTTTGTTTCGCACCGACAGAAAATCAGGAATTGAGGGTGAAGTAGCCGAACTGACAGCAATGGAGCATACAGGCAATACAAACATATAAGGAACATATGCACGAAGGCTATAAAAGAAAAC